CGACGTCAGCACCGCTGGGGGAGGGCCTGACGTCGGCACCGCTGGCCGCAGCTGCTGGAAAGTGCCCCTTTTCGGGACTTATTTGGAGAAAGCGCCGGGAGGCACCGCCTTCTCCTCCTCCTCCTCCTCCTTCTCCTCTTCCTCCCGCGGCGCTTCCCGCCCGCCCGAGCCCGGGATCCTGCCCGGCCCTGCCGCGGGCGCCCGGCGCTGCGCACGTACGTCAGAGGCCTTCTTCTCCGTCACCTCCAGCTTCTCCTGCGCTTCCTTCAGGTTCTCGGAGTATTTCTCCAGCTCGTCCTCCGTCCCTTTCAGCTTCTTCTGGAGGTGCGCCAGCTCCTCCTCCACCTGGGGACAGACGGGGGGACGCATCAGCCCGGGGCCACGGCCCCGAGGTGCAGGGGTGTCCCCCATAGTCACAAGAGTCCTCGGTCTCTCTCTGGGCTCAGTTTCCCCATCTGTAAAATAGGTTAACAATAATATGCACCATTCAATAAATGCTACAGGTTAATACGGCTTTCACATCTTCCTCCCTTGTCCTGGGGACCCGCTGTTCTTATCCTTATTAGAGTCCCCAGTGCGCTTGGGGACTCATTTACAGTTCTGGGAAATCGAAGTGCCTACACGTTTGCCCCAAACACGTTCAATTTTGCATTCCAGTTTCAGGGGTGCAGGCTCCCCGCCATGCTGGGTTAAGCGGAAGAAAGAGGGTCTCATTCTCTGGGCCTGGATCCCCACTATCCATCCTCAGCCTATCTCCCTCTAGTTCTGCCCACCTCCCAGCAAGCAGAGAAACTTTCTAAGGAGAATGTCTGCCCTTCCCCCTGCCTAGAACCTGCTATGGCTCCCCATTGCCCAAGGCAGTGGTGCTTAGACTGTCTCACCAAAATACCCTGGAGCATTGAAGGGCTTAGACCTAGCCCCCCTTCTGGGTTTTGTGGGCTTGGCTAGAAGAAACCCATCCCTCAAAGATCACTGGCTTTGGAGGCTCAGGTTAAACCTTTTAAATGTTTGTCTATTCGGTGTGTTCATTGTAATAAAAATGTCCCCTGCCTTCCCCCAGTTTTCAGCCCTTCCTGTTTTTCCTTCAAGTCTGCTCCCCACCCTCCTGCCACCCCCAGTCTGAGAAGCTCAGGTCTGTGGGATATAAACCGAAGCCCCCTCTCTGGACTGGGGTGGTGCCATCCAGCTCATGCCTTGATCTGACTCGTGTCCATTATCCCAGGGCAGCCAGGCAACCCCACTGGGCCCACCTTCGTTCTCCTACCTCCTCGCAGCAGGAGGCCCAGAGAGGTGGAGTGACTTTCCCCGGGTCACACAGTGTAGGATTTGAACCCACTTCTGAACATGAGCCTGTTGTGGACTGAATGCTTTGTCCCACCCCCGAATTCATATCCTGAAGCCCTCATCTCCAGTGTGATGGTGATTGGAGGTGGGGCTTTGGGGAGGTGCTTAGGTTTAGGTGAGGTCACGGGTGTGGACCCCCATGATGGGATTAGCGCCCTTGTAAGAAGAGGAAGAGACCAGAGCTCGTTCATCCTGCTCCACGTAAGGACACAGCGGGGTGGCGGCTGTCCACAAGGCATCTAGAGAGCCTTCGCCAGGCACCAAATCTGCCGGCACCTTGATCTTGGGTGTCCAGCCTCCAGAACCGTGAGCAATAAATGTCTCTTGTTTAGGCCAGCAGGTTTACGGTGTTCTGTTGTAAATGCCTGAGCTGACCGGGACAATGCCCTTGGCCCTGTCCCTCACGGCAGTCTGGCTTTCCTTCCTCTGGAACTTGCTTCTCTTGTCTTCCTTCCCGAAGAAGAGGGTATGCTATAAAAGCTGCGCCTGCAGCTTCTAGACCAAGCTCCGGATCTGGTCTGGGTCATGCGCTCACCCCAGAGACGACGTGCAAAACGTACCAGGTGCTCTGCGTGTCTGCACGCGCACACCAGCGCGGGCTCTTAAAAGGGTCCCCGGCCCAAGGCAGTATCAATCATCTACGCCGAGCTGGGGGATGGGGGAGCAGTTGGGGGAGGGTGGCGGCACAGGCTGGGGTTCCGGCTGAAGTCTCTGAGGTGCCCTGCAGGGGTCTCTAGCTGCGGTGCTGCAGACAGCAGGGAGGGCCGGTCTGTCTGAAGTTCCCTGGGGCACCCCAACGATGCTGGGAGCAGGTGACCGGGCCCAACCCAGGGCTGATAGCAGCTACAGCCAAAATCATGGTCTACAGGGCCTGAACTTGACCTCCAGGGGGTTTGAGGTGGTGGAGGGGAAGCCTGGAAGCCAGACTCCAAATCCCAGCCACATGACCCCTGTTTCCTATTCTGGCCTCCGTTTACCCGTCTGCAGGATGGAAGCCTGGAGATGGTGGTCTCTGAGCACCCCGGCAGCTGTTTCTGAACTTCTGCCTTGACTGAGAAAGTGAGCCAATTTCCTGAAAGACGTTTCACAGGTCAGCCCTGACCCAGCATCCACCCGACTTCCTTCCAAGTCTGTGGATCACAGCATTAACTGGGCACCAACTGTGTGCCCGGCACAGGATTCTCTTAGCATATAAGAAGAGAGAGAACAAATTTGGCAGCTTTGGACTCATCAGGGTGTAAAGACAGTTTGGGGTTTGGACAACCTTTTTGGCAACATTTAGACAAGAGGGCTATCGGGCATTTAGAATGTGCCAGGCGTGTCACAAATACTATCTCACCGAAATCCCACGCTACGGGAGGGCAAACTGAGACCCTGGGTGAAGGGGAAGGGACTCGCCCAAGGCCACACAGATGGGGGGTTTGAATCCAAGCTGGTTTCTTGGCTAGTGGGCAGTGCTGTGCCCACCGCCCGACAGCCCTCCTCTCCACTTTCTGCTGGGAGGACTCCCTCTGGTCCTCCACTCCCCTCGGCAGCCTGCCCTGCTTCCCTGTGGGGAGTCCTCACCACCCCTGGGGCTCTCCCAGCCTCTGTCCCAGCCCTGCCCCCTGAGCTGGGGGCATCCGTGTCTGACTCTGTCTCCCCTAGCCTGGGGGTCGTGGGGGTGAGGTCCCTACGGGCCCCAGTGTTGGAACACTGTGGGGAGTTTGTGGACCGGATCAACCCTTCAGTGGTAGGAGGTGGTTGTCAAAAATAGATAAGACCAACATGCATCGGCTTCCTTTCCTTCTGTCCGAGTTCCACGCGCAAAGGAGGTGCTGGCGTGTGCAGCCTTGCCCTGGCGAGCCATTGTCCTCCTGTGGGCCTCAGTTTCCCCGCCTGTAAGATGGCTAGGAGGATCCTGGACTGCACACACCTTAGTCCCTGCGCATGGGGCCTCAGGGCAGGACTGCAGCAGGATGTGGGGTCAAAGACCAGTTGTGGAGGATGTCGCTGCCCTGGGAGGGGAGTGGGCAGGAAGCGGCTGGGCTGGCCTAGCTTTGTCCTGTTCCCACACTAGAAGGGCAGAGCTGGGAATTGGGCATCCCCAAGGGTCAGGCTGGCCCTGAGACTTGCTGTCTCTGGCCTCCTGCAGCTAAAGGCGCTCTAGGTAGGTTGAGTTCCTCACCACCTGCCCGTGTTCCCAGGCAGGACTGGGCCTCCACCCTGTGGGGCCCTGGCTTTTGCTTCGGACCTCTGGGATTTTAGGTTCCACACCCGGCTATCAGAAGGTATTGTTTGTCCCCATTTCACAGATGAGAACACTGAGGGCTCAGAGAAGTGCAGGAAAGTGCCATAAGCTAGAAGAAGCCCCAGCCCTAATTTGACCCTAAGTCCACTGAAGTGGGTGGCTTTGTGGGAAAAAAAAAAATTGTAAAAAGCGTAATGAAAAGCCAGCTGGAGGCTGGAGAATCTGTCCCTACCTCCTTGGCCATACACCTGGCTGAAGGCTTTGAGGATCCTTCCCTTTTGAACTTGTGGCTGCCTTTGGGGATTCAGCTGTATCAGTCACTCACATCTTAGTGAGAATTAGAGCCATAAACTTACTTCTCTCTGAATCTCGGGCTAAGCCCGTCCTGTGAAGGCTAACTGATGGCTGGAAGCCAGCAGTGCAGGGCCAGCACAGGATGGACCTCTGTGTGTTTGCCAGGGAGGGGCACAGGGAAGGAGGAGGGAGTATGCGGCAGGGGTGGGGCCTGGCCTGTGCAGATGTGTCACAGACTCTGGGAGCAGTCCCAGGACACTGGGGCATGGGGCGGCCCAAAGGGAAGTAGGGCGGGGCAGGAAATACACCGTGTCTATCTCGCGCTTGCTCTGTGCCAGGCGCTGGGCCAAGGGCTCCACCTGCTCAGTCACCTCTGATCCTGCGGTGGCGGCAGCGAGGGAGGCACCACTGTGACGTCCCCACCTCGCACACGTGGCCACCGAGGCCCAGAGAGGAGAGGGCGTTTGCTCCAGGGCACCCAGCGACAAGCCGCAACTCGGACGTGGCCAGTCTGCGCTCAGAGCCACCGCCTCTACCTGCTGGGCCGTCCTGGGTGTCTCCCTGGGCTTATCTGAGACCTGGACGCTCCCGAGGGCTTGGCAGTTGACCTTGGGGTGTGGTAAGCCTTGTGGGGACTCCCTTCCTGCCTGCCGCCCACTGCTCCAGCCACCAGACCTGGACGACCGACGTCTGCTCTGCCCCAGGCCCTGCTCGCTGCCCCTGCGTTAGCTCCCTGCGGCACCCCGAAGGCCAGGGCCTCCTGGGACTCTCGTCCCCAAAGCCCTGGGTCTGTGTGGGTCCCGGGCTGCTGGGGGATGGGAACTGGCCTCCCTGCCCTCTGCCCGCCGTGGGCAGCCCACCTCCCCGCCCCGGGCTGGCAGCAGGGACGGCAGGGGCTCCCCAGATTCTCAGGGACACGCCGAGATTCTTGGCCCCACTGTCGACTCACCTTCCGCCCCGGCCCCCAGGCCCTACCCAGCCGCCCTCGGTGGGCACAGCCCCGGGTCCCCACCACACCCACGCGTGGGGCCACCCTCCTCGGGGAGCCGCCGATGCCGACCCGAAGGCTCCTGTCACAGCCGGTGCTCCGGGATGCACGGCATGGGGTCGCCCACACTCAGCACGGCTCTGCACTGCCGCTCTCTCCCCGGTGTGCACACGCGCACACACGCCAGCGGAAACACACATCCAAACACGCGTGACATACATGCCGACAAAACCCACCATCCCCCGACACACACGCATGTGCTGCCACAGACACAGCCACCTGGGCACATACGTTCAATCCCTGTCCTGCCGCCTGTTGCGCGAGCACACACGGCCGCTCTTCCCCGCCACGGACCCACACTGACACCGCCGTCTACACACAGAGCCACGCACGCATCCGCGCCCTTGCACACCCGCTTCCCAGCGACCACGGGCGGCAGCCCCACACTCACACCTCTCCTCGCACACACTCATTCTCACGGTGACCTTAACCCCCAGCGAGACACGCACACACACGTGACACACGTGTACAACACAGGCGCACACACAGGTACGCTCAGACATACACAGACACGCTTGCGTGCCAATGAGGGAGGACAGCGTTGCCCCACTCTTCCTCCGTCCCACCCCAGCAGGTTTCTGGGCCCCGTGCCCTTGGCGCCATTGCCCGGCCTTCCCCGGCAGGGGACCTGGCACAGAGAGGGCGCTGGGCAGCCCGGCGCGGCCCAGCGCAGGAGGGCGGCTCACCTGCTTGCATTTGTCCTCTGCGGCTTTCTTATCCGCCTCGGCCTGCTCGGCCCGGTCGATGGCGTTCTCCTTGTCCAGCTTCAGCATCTGCATCTTCTTCTTAATGGCCTCCATGGCTGGGCGCTGGGCTGGGGGACGCGGGCTCCGGGGGTGGCTGCGCGGGGGCTGCGGCTGCTGCGGCCGAGTGAGTCTCGGAGGGCGGAGGAGAGGCCCTTATAGCCTGCCGGGGTGCACCGCCCAGCAGCCGGGCGAGTCTTGGAGGAGGCCCAAGCCCTGCCGCCGGGCCAGCCGCCACTCGCCCGCCGGGGAGGACTTGGCCAGCTCACCGGGCGCCCCACGGCCCGCGCCTTATTTGGGCCTTGGGTTGTCTTAAAGGGAGGAAAAAAAGAGGGCCCGAACTGTTTCCATTTTTAACCTGGTGACACAGGTCCCGCGTGGGTGTGCGGGCACAGCGCAGGCCCGGAGGGACCCGTGGCAGCAGAGCCCCGGGGGTGGCGGTGCTCCAGGTGGCCTCAGTTTCCCCTTCTGTCGTTGGGAGGCGTGAAGAGCGCGTCTGGGTGGGTGCAGGGTCTGGGCGCTGTGAATTGGGGAGGCTCCTGTCCTCCTTCCCCCTCTCCTCAGGGGGTCAGGCCTCTCTCTGTCCCATCTCCTGCCACCACTCCAGGAAGCCTTCCTGGATTACTGACACCTCTTTCTGTGGGGTCTCGTTCTCATCGTCTTCTGCCTCTGTCTCTCTTCCGGTGACTGTCTCTGTGTCTCTCTCCGTGTCTTTTTCTGCCTCTCTCTGTCTCTGTCTCTCCTGCCCCCTGCCACCCTCCTTAGGCCCCATGTTCTCCCTCCCTCCCCTGCCCAGAACCTGGCTGTGGCTCCCCAGTACCCACGAGAACAGGAGATGGCCTCAGCTCCTCAGCTCCCCATGTAGACTCCTCCCCTCCTCCACCTCTGCCCGCACAGCACCCCGATTTCCCACCTCCAGGCCTTTGCTCGTGCAGGCCCCGGCCTGCGCTGCTGTCCCTCTCTCCCTCCAGCAACGCGGGCACGATTTGCTGACTTCGGAAAGTTTTATTCGTTCATTTGTTCATTCATTCACTCCCCTGAAACACGGTGCGTCTCTCGTGCCGTGCCTTGGCAGTGCGTGCTTGGAATGCAGGAGCTATTACTACTATTGTTATTATTCGAGCATCACTTTTGGACTGCGAACTGCTTTGGGGCAGGCCTGTGCCTCAGTCTTGTCTGTGGCCCCCCAAGAAAATGAGAAAATGCTTGTCAAATAAAACATGCGATTTCCCCCACGTATACACGCAAATACAGACACATACACTCACATACACTCGCTTCTCTGCCTGTGAAACGTCTATTCACGCTTCAAGGCCCAGATCGGATGATGCCTCCTCCAGGAAGTCTTCCCAGATTCCCAGACACACTCCTGGATGGAGCATTAAGACTTCTAGGTGGGATGGAGTGTAGGTAGGGAGGCCTCACTGTTTTCTGCCCAAGGCCCCAGAGGGAGCAGGATGAAGGCAGAGACTGGACAGTGTGCAGTGAGTGCCTCTGGGGAGTGTGGGGGTCACGCCAAGATATTGAGGTCCCAGCCCCCTGCTCAGCTGCTTCACCGTCCCTTAAGCCAGCTTCCTTCTTTTTGTCACGGTGAGAACTTCACTCCTGTTGGCTGGGGGATGGGCAAAAAGGTAGCTACAGAACATTCTAGAACCTCTTCCGTGCACTAAGGATGTCGGCTTCTCCCCATGTTCGGGAGCTGAGGAGGCCCAGCGCAGACTCCTCCCCAACTCTGTCCTCTCTTATCTCACCCTTCCCCATGTCCTGGCTGTGCAGACTCCGTTTCCTCTTGTGACAGAAGCAGACCGTAGTAGTTGCATCTGGAAGAACGGGAACTCCGACGAGAGACAGCGAGTAGACAGCGACTCCCGTCCGCCGGCTGAGCCCGCACGTAGCTCGCAGCATCTCACTTCAGCCTCCCCGCGCCTCAAAGGCCGGGGACGGTTTTTACTCTCACTTTTCAGAGGAGGAAGCTGAGGTTGGTTCTCAAGGTCACACGGCTTGCCCAAGGCCGCCCAGCCGGCGAGGTGGCCCACACTGAGGCTCCTTTGTCTTTGCGACAAACCCTAGAAATGAGCTACAGTTCCATGTTACAGATGGGGAAACTGAGGCCCAGAGCAGCTCGCCGGCTTGCGAGTGACCCAGCTGACCCTAGAACAGAGCTGGTAAGGGTCCTAGGACGCCTTCATTAGCTTCGCCGCCTCGGGCTGAGGTCGTCAGAGGTCAGCTCGCCCACGCCTGCCGTCCCCGGAGTCCCTGGGACCAGCCTCACCGCAGGTGTCGTGGCTAATTCCAGGCCTGACACCACCAGGTGCAGAAAGGGACCCCTCCCGCAGGAGACGTCCGCTCGCTCCATGGCCTTGTGAGGCAGACCTGGTCCCTGGCACAGTCTCTTGCCCAGGGGCCTCCCAGAGGTGGAATCCTGTGCCTTGGGGGAGGAGGGGGCTGGGCATGGCGTCGGAGCTGGCGCCCCATCAGGGACTTTTGTGGCCCCTGTGCTACGGTCCTAGGAATGCACTTAATGCCCTCCTTGTGTATTTGCCCCAGGGACACCCCAGGAGTCCTGGCCGGGGCTGGGAGGGTCATTTGGGGTTCTTGGGCCCGTGGGGGCCCTGGCTCAGCTGTCCAGGCTGTGCGGACTGGGGCATAAGGCGGGTGGAGGCTGCCGTTTATAGCTTAGAAGGAGCGAGCTTCCTTCCTGCACCGTGACTCTCCAACGTGGGGACTTCTGGGGACGGCTTAGGGGGAGACGCCATCCCAGCCCCCTTAGTCATGAGACTCAGGGTCATTTATCAAGCATCTACTATATGCCAGGCACTGTGGGTTTTAGGGACGCTGTGTTGGGCATGACTCAGCCAGTGGGACAAGACAACCAGTGCGATATTACGGTGCGTGTATATATAGTATAGGATATATATAGTATGTGTCTCTCTCTATATATATCGGTTTTCATCCACAGTTCCTGATTCATAACTCCCATAGCCCTTGGTCCAGCCTTTCGGTATAATTTTGGGGTGTTTTTAGCCCCAGAAGCAGCCTCAGGAAACAGAATCTCTCGCTCTGACCTCCCGCCCTCCTTTCACTCGTGCAAGGCGGGACTCCAGTCTGTCTACGGGTTCTGCGACCCTCGCTGCAGAGAGAGTCCCACTCCACGCCCCGGAGGGAGGAACGCTGCCCAGAGAGGCCAGGGAGAGTCTGAACAGACAGGCCTCGCTGGGTTTAGATCACACCTTTTCTGCCCAATCACATCTCTCCGTGGTTGTCAGTCATGCCTGTGTAATGACGCCTCCGTAAGAACCCAGGAGGACAGGGTTTGGGGGGCTTCCGGAGAGCTGAACACACGGAGGCTGACACAGGAAGGTGACCAAGAACTTACCCATATGCCGGGAGGGTGGTGCACCAACTCCATGGGGACAGAAGCTCCGGTGCGTGGGACCCCTCCAGATCTCGCCCTGTGTATCTCTTCATCTGGCTGGTAATTTGTATCCTTTAAAATATCCTTTCTAGGGCCGGGCGCGGTGGCGCACGCCTGTGATCCTAACACTCTGGGAGGATGAAGGGGGAGGATGGCTTGAGCTCAGGAGTTCAAGACCAGCCTGAGCAAGAGTGAGACCCCCCTCTCTACTAAAAATAGAAAAAATTAGCCAGGCGTGGTGTGCACCTGTAGTCCCAGCTAGTCAGGAGGCTGAGGCAGGAGGATCGCTTGAGCCCAGGAGTTTGAGGCTGCTGTGAGCTACAATGATGCCACTGCGCTCTAGCCCGGGCAACAGAGCAAGAATAGGTCTTAAAAAAGAAAAAAACTCTTTATAATAAACTAGTAAACGTAAGTAAGTGTTTTTCTGAGTTCCGTGAGCTGCTCTAGCAACTTAATGGAACCCAAAGAGGGGGTCGTGGGAACCTCAACTTGAAGCCAGTCGGTCAGAAGTTCTGGAGGCCAGACTTGCGGCTGGGGTCCAAAGAGCGGGGCAGTCTTGGGGGCTGAGCCTCACCCCGCAAGATCTGACGCTACCTCTGGGTAGAGTGTGTGGCATTGACTCGGAGGACACCCAGCTGGTGTCCCCTGTGGAACTGATTCCTCACTTGCTGGTGGGGAGGAACCTCCGCATATTCAGGGTCACAAAAGTCTTCTGCATTGGTGTCGTGTGAGGGCAGAGGAAAATCACGGCTTGAATTTTTCCTAAACAACCAACAACTACAATTGCAGAATGAATTATAATAGGGCACATGGCTGTCTTAGGTTGGCCACCTGCAGAAGTGGACCCTGACTCAAGAATTTGCGGGAAAGTAGTTTATTTGGGAGGTTACCCAAGGAGACACGAATAGAGGATGGGGAAGTGAGACAAGGAGGAGAAAGGCCAGCAAAGCGTGTGTGACAAGGACGGTTACAGCCGTGGGCAGACGGGTGCGGTCCCACTGGCGACCTCTGGCGGCAGCAGAGAGCACACTCCGGCGTTGTCCACGCTGAGGGGCGAGGGAGCTGGGGTGTTTACCCACCAACTGCACCTGTCATTGGTTCAAGGCTCTCTTGGGGAAGGAGGGGTGTTGATTCGCCAACGCTGCTGGCCTGCCCTTATATGGGCCACGTCGGCTTCATCAGCTGGAGAAAGCCCCCCTCCCCCGCAGCGGAGAGATGCAGGTGCCGGAAGGTCACCTTTGGAGCGCAGCAGAACACCCGGGTGAGCATCAAGACTGGGCTAAAAATGTTAATGGCATGTATAATTCCAGCACCTGCTCAGTCTTGTGTGGAAGTCAGGGAAGGCTTCCTTGAGGAGGTGGCAATTGAGGCGAGGTCTGAAGGGTAGTGGGTAGGGGAGGGGCATATGCAAAGGTCACAGGTGGAAGGGACCGAGAGCAAGTGAGAGTGTCCACCTGGCGTGCAGAGGTGGGGGTGCGGTGTGGTGGGTGACGAGGCTCCAGGAATCAAACAGCAGAGCAGAGTATGAGGTTGCCCCCCGTCCCCAAAATGTGTCTCCTGCAGTGTGAGGCATGCAGAGAGACCAAGGGGACAGAGTGAGTTCACTGGGTTCTGGTGGAAAAGAGCAAATATGTTCCCAGCTTGTGTGCTGTGGAGTCTTGCTCCACAGGGTACACCCGAATAATAAGATGACAAGGATGATGATAAAAATGGCCTGGGGCCAGGCACGGTGGCTCACACTTGTCATC